TCGGCGGCCACTGACCGTGTGGGTTATTGTGTGATTTGTGTCTCTGTGTGCGTGTCCTTAAATGAATGGTTTCAGACCGGACCGTATCGAAGAACTGGACCCGGAGAGGGACAAGACCGGACCTGAATCCTGAGGTCTCCACAGACAAGTACGATACACGACACTGAAGTTACACCCCCACTAACACACACACACGCACACATGCACGTACACTTACACACCTACGTCCTTTATTTGTTTGCATAGCTCGGTTGCTTTGTCATTAATTCCAGAACCTTCGTGGACACGTTTCCTCTCGGATGTTGATTTAGCGGATCCAGATTAAGGGGGACAGGACAGTGTGAACCGAAAACAGACTCCCGTGAGTGGTGACCGGGACACTTTCAGGACGACACCTTTGCTACAACCCGATCCTGGGTCATGTGGACCTGGTCAGTCCTTCAGCTGTCAGAGCCGGAGCATCACCACTGAATGGAATTAACCCACCAGCAGCGTGTCCTGGATCCCGGCTGTCATCTGTCATAGCCGCTGTTTTTTGGGGAGGGGGGGGTGATTTTTTAAATTCTTTAATTTTTTATTTTTTTTACATCTTTACCTTGTGGTGGCGTCCAAGGAGAAGTGTGAGGAACCCGCATCGGTGAGGGCTGTTTTGTTGTGACCCAAAGATGGGAAACGTTATAATTCTGTCTATTTTAACCACGGACGCTGCGCCCACGGTGTCGAAGCCATTGTACTGCAATTCATTTAAAAAAAAACGCATTTAATGCGCATTGTTCCCTCACAGCTCGCACTAGCCACGGCTACGTGCTGCTACACAGACAAGATGTAGGTTAAAGCTGCTCCACAGCTGAAGATGCGCTGTGTTTGTGTGTGTGTCACATAGGAAAAAACACCCAGAGTCTGACTGTAGTGTGTGTGTAGTACTACTCTGTGTGATTGTCATTGAGGCATTACTGCAATGTGACCTTTGTATGTGTTCGTGTTCCTGTGCCGGGGCCTGCTGCCAGTTCAAGGACTTAGAACACAGCTGATGTCTGAGAGTGGCAGCTCTGCCTTTGCTCTTTTGTTTTGGGATAAGCTGCTTGTCTTCACTGTCATTTCCAGGCTAAATCAGCTGCCCATCCACATTGATGTCAAAAACAAAAAAAAAATTAGGGCAACACGGTGGCATAGTGGTTAGTGTTCCAGCCTTACAGTAAGACGATCACTATTCAAAACCTGGTGGTAATTGATGATGTTCTGCCCAAGGGTGTGGTTACTGTGGCAGATTCAATTAGTTGTTTACGCTTAATTGACCACAAGTGTGAATGTGAATTGTTGTTGGTCACACGGTGGTGGAGCGGCGGTTTGTCAACGGATGATCATTTAGATTGGCTGCAGCTTAATTCAATTAATGAATCATTCAAAATGTTTTTAATCTCAGCTGTTTTTAATTAGTCGCAGTAAAAAGTCAAAAGATTTGGATGGAAATGTTTACGTTCTCAGAACCATCAGTGTTTATGTAAGGTATGTTATTATTACTGAAGGGGTAGGACTTCAAACTGTAGGGGGTACGTCCTGGGGCAAATACTGTCAGTTTCGTCCAACTCCGTGGTTACAGGTAGGTATTTTAGTTGTCCAGTAACCCCAAGAGCGATTTTGAGATTTTGAGTTTTTTTTTGTCTGTGGTGTAAAGTGTTCTAGTTGTCCAATAACCCCAAGAGCGATTTTGAGATTGATTTTTTTTTGTCTGTGGTGTAAAGTGTTTTGAATGGTCATCAGGATGATATTCATGTAAAGTACAGACCGTTCACCATTTGCTCTCGCATGGATATGTAGCATATATACAGCTGCAAAGCTGTGCAGGATATGTGTTTGTAACTCTGCTACAGTGTGTTTGATGATGCCCCAGGGAGGAGGAGGAAAACAAGTGATTTGGGTTCTGCCATTGAAACATATTCCTTGATAGGTCCATAAAAAGTCAAGAAAGAAAGAAAGAAAAACTAACTAAAACTGTTCACAGTAAATGTATGTAGATGCCAATAGCAGGTTTACAAGCAGATTATTATTATTATTATCTGCTCCATCCTTATGATGTTTGATCGACAAAAGACTGTTATTAAAGGATAAGGGGATAAATATTCAGTTAATTCACTGTTGTTCTGAAGACGTGGCTTTTGTATTTGGTCCTTTATTTGGTAACAGAATGACAAGGAAAAAAATCCAAGAACATGAAACAGCTTTTCTGAGCACTGAAGTGCCTCTCAGCAGAGCACAGAATAATATTACCGTTTGTCAAGAGTGGTCATAATCAGACTTGAGTAGTAAGCAAGTCTCACAGACACGGGGCCAATCAGAGCTCCGTCATCAGGCAGTGAAACAATTACTTCACCACTTTTCTTAACCACATTTTCTGAAGAATTTCCTAACTCCACCTTCTCACCTTTATTCTCCTCCCAGAGACAAATTATGCCAGCAGCACCAGAGTGGCTCTGCCTGGTGACGTGCCAGCTCATCGGTCAGACTACTCTGCCCTCCGCTAGCATCCTTCTCGACACTGGCAGATCCATGCTGCTGGATGCTCCTCACCGAGCCACTACCGCACCATGAGCGCCAACAGGCCCGCCCCCTCCCCAGCTCCCACCTCCCCAGAAGCCCCTCCGGCCCCTGCTCCGGACCCGGCCGCCACACCGCACGCTCCACCTGCTCAGTCCGCCCCGGCGTCCACTGCTATCCCAGTAGGTGCGTTGGCACAGAAGAAGCGGCAGCAGTATGCCAAAAGCAAAAAACAGGGCAGCAATGCTAACAGCAGACCACCAAGGGCTCTGTTCTGCCTCAACCTCAACAACCCCATACGCAGGGCCTGCATCAGCCTGGTGGAGTGGAAGTATCCTTTAACAGTGAACCTTTTATGTTCCAATCATTTCATGTGGACTGCAGTGACTGATGAGCTGTCTGACTGTTTTAGACCAAACTTTTGTGCAGATAAAATCTCAAATCTTTTTGTCGGTACAACTGTTTGAGAGGTAAACCTTCCAGCAGGGCCGTCAGTTTTAACCTGATATCAACACACAGGTACAGAAAAAATGGTTTAATGAATTAAATCCCAAAAATATCTGCTCTTTTATTACACATAATGCAGCTTTATTTTTAAATAAACTCCCACCAAAAGCAGCCAGTAGAAATGAACAGTGTCGACCTCCTGACCTGGGGATGTCCAAAGTTATTTCTCAAATAGTGTTGGATTTGAACATTTCTGCCTGGAATTCTTTAAACCATTAAAATGAATTACAAATAAAAATTTCTATTTCATTTTAAGACGAAGGCTGTGGGCCGCATAACATTTGATCATGGGCCACAATTGGCCCCCGGGCCAGTCTTTGGACATGCCTCTGCAGTATTGCTAACTGAGAATTGATTACTGAGAAATTCTCCAGCTATACTCCAACACACTACAGTGTCTATGCAGCAACTCCGAGGTCGTTCTGGAGAACATTAGGACCAAGTACTTTATGTCCTACTTTTGTACCGTTGCTGTAAAAGTCAACAGAAATGTGCATAAAGTATAGAGCAGATATTTGTCATTTCTTAGGTGCAATTAGTTTGCAATCATGATGAAATATTTAATATTATATTCCTGATGTCGTAGCTTTTTTCTGCTTTCCCCAAAAAAGTAAGTCAAAACTCCACAGTATTATGTCAACAATACCATATTTTTATTTTTTATTTATTTTTTGCTGAGAGGGATTGTTTTCTCAGAACACGCCGTCAGATATAAATATCAGATCAGACCGAATGTAAACTGAAAAGATTCATTTCACTTTCTTGTGTTTTCTGAAATGAGAGAAAACCTCACGCAGGAGTCGCTGTATCAGGTATCAGGATTTGTTTGCAACGTAGTGCGTGTAACGTTACCATAGCCACCAGGTGATTATGACATTGTGACAGTTTCAATTTTTTTATTTCTGTCAAACTCATGATATTATACCATTTTAAAAATGAAAGTTGATAATTTTTCAGAAAATGCAATGTTGGAAAAAAAAACTTGTGGCTTTGGAAAAAGTTTTAAACTTCTTAATCTAATGCTGATGTGTGTATATGCATCAACTGTTGTGTTTTCCTTAACCTCCTTCACCAGGCCATTTGATATCTTTATATTAATTGCTATTTTTGCCAACTGTATGGCCTTAGCTGTCTACGTCCCCTTCCCTGAAGACGATTCCAACTCCACCAACCACGATCTGGTGAGTAGTCCGTCTCTGACTGGACTGTAAGGGGGGATGGGGGGGCAGGAGGGGTTAATGTAAAAAAAAAACATAAACAACTGCGAATGCAGTAGATGAAGTATCTGCATCATCATCTGCATCACCAACATCCTCGCTGGTGCTTTGTCTTGTCATAGTTTTATTGTTCAGCTTTCTATTTTTAGAAATATCTCGTCATTGCAGCACTGCGTGCACCTTGTGCATTTTTTTTCTCCCCTCTCTGTGTGATGAATAATGGCTTTTGTGGTGTTGCAAGCATTGTTCCACAGCTGTAGGTGGAGAATGTGTTTCTAACGTGAGAAGAATTCATCCACGGTGTTCAATGATTCATGTGTGGTTTATTCAACGTCTGCACACGACGGTCGTGAATGATCTTCGTCTTTGAGTCTTTGTCTGAGCAGAGACGTGGAGCACGTCTGTCGACTAAGACGGGTGGAAATGTCTTTATGTGGTCTCCACTGCAGAAGTGAAGCTGCAAAAAATGAAAGAAATGTTTCCAAGTTTGGGTGGAAGTGTGTCTGGTCTGGTGTAACGTGTACAGTCTGACCTCCTGGAGGGCTGACCTCAGGGTGTTTGTTTTCACAGCAGGGCTGCGTTAGCCGAGTGGGACAGAGCAGTGTGGAAAACAATTTTATGTGCAGTCAATTATTGTGTTTATTCTCGTGCAGTTAAATGATGAATTTCTTGAACGTTGCTCTCCAAACTCCAGTGAAGTCCCTGTCCTCAGTCCACAGCCTCCGTCCTTTTGACAGTTGTGTCTGTCAACCGTGGACTTTCTCACTGCCCTGCGCTCACTGAGGTATCTGTCTGATACAAACCTGGCGTCGGACCTGAAGTTGAAGAACGCACAAATGCACGCTGCGTGTTGAGATGGTATTTTTAGCTGGAAGGTTTTTGGGTAAAAAGACGTGCACGGACTGTGAGTTAGAGGGAGACTCTGTGGACGGACAGTGGGATTATTGGACGGACATTATGTCATTGTTCTCAAAATTTAGAATTTAATTAATTTACCTAATTCATTAACGTGCTAATTTTGACAACCCTAGCTCATACGCCTGTACCAATGACAAAAGAAAAAAACCTCGAAAGTGATGACATCATTGTGTTTTTGTGAAGTGTGTGGACAGCAGTGTCACAGGAAGTGAAATGATTAAAGAACATGATTGACCAATAACTCTGGGTCCACCCCCACTCCCACTGGTCACCCTGCGTCGGTCTAGTGGGGAAAAGCAAAGACCTGTTTAGAATGTGTTTACGTCTTAATTCAAACATTAGACACTTCCTGCTGTGCTCTGATTGGTCGGAGTGTCTGCTCCTGCCGTCGTGAAACCGTCAGTGAGGCTGTTTTGACAGCTGTTGTCAGCATTTTGCGACAGCGTTGTAATGTGGCATTTACTACACCTTTAAACACAGACATTGAAAAAGTGAACGCTACAGGATCGGCACTGTCTACGCCGGGGTGTCAAACACACGACACGTGGGCCAAAACCGGCCCGTTTGGTGTTTGAATCCAGCCTGCTTGATGAATTTTGAAGTTTTGTAAAATTATATTTTATTAAATATGAGGTATTTTCTAATGTACGTTTTTTGTACTTTTTATTATTATTATTTACCCCTGGACTACTCAGATCAAACAGGATGTGATGTAAGAGGCTGTTAATACGAGGCTGCAGACAGGTACGCTGGTCGACACAGGTGTGAGAGTCAGGCTGAAGTATTGTCTTCTGTGTTTCTTTTTACACTCATTTGTGTTCGGCTGTACAAATGTTTTTACCTTGCTTGCGCAGCTCTTTGGCTTTATTCTGCGTTGTCAACAGTAAATCATATAGTAGCAGGTAAATAATGCAGTCTCTTCATTTTGCAGCAGAGGTTGAACAGTTCAATATATTTTAGGGCAGGTGTGCCAGCCTTGGCTGTGGTTTTCCTCACAAAGAGTCACACTGTTCCTACAGAACGAAAGAGCAAAACGCTGAGCTGTGGTTTCTCCGCGGTCGGCAGCGGGTAATGCTGTGGAAAGATTGCCCTATCACGTGCCTCTGCTCTGAGCCTCACAGGTGGATGAGAACTGATATGAAACACGAGACCGGGAGCATAACAGATGTGATGTGTAAAGCGAGGATCGAATTGTATCACAGGGCGGCGGAGCTATGCAGACACGCTACACCCCAGTGTCGTGACGGAGGGGTCGGATGTACGGGGACGACGGGACGGCAGCTGTGTCATAAACAGACTCTGTCAGTGAACCGTGGCTGAACGCAGGCCTCCTGTATTCAGCCATGGGTAAGCCTGTGGTTTAGTGGTTAAAGGTTGGGCTTCTGATTGGACCATTAACAGTTTGATTGCGTGTTGGACCCGTAAAGTCTACTGTTTCTTCTTTAAAGATGGGATAAAGGCAGTGGACACAGTTTGTCCAAATTTGTTTGGGTGTAAGGTCAAAAAATATTTTTCTCCTCTACCCATGCAGCCTGGACATTTTAAAAGTCTTGTTATTGGAAAAAAACTTTTCTTTTAGCTCAATAGATCATTCAGTGATCACAGCAGGTTGATGTAGTTCTACTGTTTTTTAAAAAAAAAAAAATTTTTAGCTCAATATATCATTCAGTGATCACAGCAGGTTTACGTAGTTTTGAAAAAAAAAAAAATAGCAGTTGCTAATTTATGTCAACCATCTGATCACTGATAGATTAAAATAATGGGATAAACTGGGTTAATTCCCTGCACATGCAGTTAAATTGTGTCACAAGATGAAGTATATAAACTCGGTAAGTGTTTCCGAGTCGTAGCTCGACTGAATTCTAAAAGTCCTGGTCGCACAGTTAATAATCACCATCTGTCAACCTGCAGATTTTCTGCCACAAGTTCAAGTACGTGACAGATTCACAGATTCACGCAGTGGAGCCCATCATCTGTTATCCAGAGGTGTAACTGTCGCAGAAAGTGTTGAAATGGCGAACACGAGTCTGTTATTCACCAAAGCCGCAATCTGTGTTTGTTGAGACTCTTGAACTGGACTTCGACAGCCAGCTGGACGTTTTGACACAGAGCGGAACGTTGTTCAGCTGAAAAAAATATTTTAAAGTCGGCCAAGCAGACGCGGCTACGTGGATCACGGATCTTTATCTTATTTTACACGATTTCTTTTTACTGCTCCTTTAAAGTGCTAAAGGATAGCATTTGATAGCATCTGTCAAGGGGATGTTCAGTTACCCACTGAATAAGACATTCAATTCTTAATCTGAGTGTTAACCAGGGATGTCCGATAATATCGGCCTGATATTAGCAATAATTATGTAATATCTGTAAGAATCGTTATCGGTTGAAAACCCAATAACACAATGACTGGATTTCCCTAAATGATCTGTGATCTGTAAAAATAGTTTTGGGGAAAAACGGCTTTATGTGAAAGTGAACCCCACTAGATGGCAGTATTGCAGCTCATCCACTAGGTGGCAGCATTGTACCTCATTTTATTAATCTATTTTAATAATCAGAGGGGAATATATGCAGAAAGCTGGTGCCAGAAACTCGTACATTAATATCGTAACATCCCTAGTTTTAAGGCAGAAAACATGTTGAAGGTAAACTAGTAACCACATCATTAACCATTAGCCTAACGGTTGTCGTCAATGAGACCATTAGTTCATCCCGACTCCTCCATCTTCTGACTGGAGTCACTGAATTAATTTGCTATTTTTAACTCCTCGTCGATGTAGTGTCTTCTTGAGGCCACAGGAAGTCGTTGACATTAATTTCCCTTTAAAGTTGTGCAGCTGACGTCGCTTTGATTCAGGAGCGCGTTTGTGTCGCACACGCAGTTCAGCGTTCATTTGAACATGTGCAGCTGATGGAGAGAGTGTGTGTGTGTGTGTGTTTCTGAGTGAGTGACTGAGCGAGCGAGCGAGCGAGTGAGTGTGTAATGGCTGGCACGAGTGCTAATGTCTGGACCGTGGGCTCACAGGGCTGTGATGGAAGTAGTATGTATTTAGTCACTTAATGTAACTGCTCATTTGTGGCTCACACTAAAACTGTCTCTGCATGTTACTCTGAATGTGTGCTTCACTTCCTCTCTGCTCTCTGTTTGAGTGTGTGCGTGTGTGTGAGAGAGAGAGAGAGAGAGAGACGCAGAGCTGTGTGTGGGTTGTGTGTAGTGCATGAAAGCGCATCTATGATAGAAACACAACATACGGAGAGTCACACACAGCAAACGGAACAAATGAACAGCTGATTCATGAAGTGCAGTTTTTCTTGATGGATTTATCACAGATATTTATACTTGTTCTTGTGTATTTTCCCCCTGATTCACCGGTTTACCTTTATTTATTCTCCTGTTTTCATATCTGATTATCGTGGGCCTCTCTGCCAATGTTTTCCTGTTCATTTTTTAAAATTGCTTTTAAGACGTTATTACTTAATTACTTTGCCCAGACCTGTGCCCTGGGGAGGTCGCTTCAGGCGTCGAACACAAACCTGAAGAGACAGCAGTTCTTAAATCCTGATCGATTTGCGTAGGTCAGGGTGCTGCAAGCTGCCTCTGGTGGTGGTGGGGGGGGACCCGGGTCGTCCCATTGGTCAGGAGCCCCCGGGCAGTAAGATGCTGACTCGCCACAATCTGCTTGCTGTAATGGACTCTAGAAAAATCAAAGAATCATCTGTATAAATGAATACATTTCAGATTTTATCATTTAAGATCCCAAGACTGAAGCACAAGTCAAAACAACGTTAAAATTCATCCGGTTTCCTGTAAATCGGCGTTTGATGCTAATTTCAGTCGTACTTGGAATAACTCGCAGAAAGGACGATGAAATTAGAGCGATGTTCCACAGCGGTGTTCCCTGTCTTAGGTCATTTCAAAGACTAAACACAGGGTCATCGAGTCATCTGGGGGTTTTACTACCAAAGCCAACAGGAGGTCATGTCCATTTCGTAGGTCTACTCTGTCGTAGACATCGTACGATGTCCGGTCACGATGGTTTTGTTCCGACCCATGTTACCGATCTTTTTAATCTTCCCTCTGTTTTCCATATGTAACCGTATAATTACTTTTTTTTTTTCCTCTCTCTGTTCCCGTGTGTGCTGCGTCAGTGTCGTTGTTACCTAAACACAGAGGCCTAATAAATAGAGCAGAACACGAGCTGCGTCAGCACAGTCGGTCACACAGAGTTTGTTTCTGTGGGCTTTTTTTTTTTTTTTCTGCATTTTCCGTTTGAACAGACGGCACACGTGCCTTCCTCTAGGTCAGGTAGTTCTACGTTCTTCTTCCGTCGCCTCAGTGTATTCTTCCTTTTGTGGAAGATTTTATAGATGTTTTCGAACTTTCGTTGGCCATGACAAAATAAAAAAAAAAAGATTAGTTATTCTGTGTCATTTTTTTTTTCTCGCTGATTCTCAGGTTGACACAAATCAAAGTGCTCAGAGTTATTGTAGACCAAACACTGTCAGTGGAGAGAGCCAACCAAGACAAAGTGGTGAAGACAGCACCTAGGGTCCGGACCACCCTTCACTCCTCACCCCCCAGCTTTGGCTCTGTCCTCATTTACGAGCATTTTTGAGACCGGTGGTTTGTAGAACTGATTTATTCTGAGTGACGTGCTACACACTAGCTGGACAATTTAGAAGCTTTGAATGGATTACTGCTACGTACAGGCTGCTGTGTGTGAAAACGTACTCTGTTCTAATCCATACAGTGAATATACATCATGAAATACTAGTTTAGAAACTACAGGTGCCTCCCAGACTAGAAGACCAATCCTGAGATTATATTTATTTCTGTATTTGTTCCAATCTTGAGATAATTTAAGGATGTGGATTATTATATTATTAAATTTGTTAACCATGACCCATTTTGTTTGGAAGAAATGAGCCAGCGGTGGATGCTCCTTCAAAACCTAAATACAAAAAAAAAAAACAGTTGTTGTTTTTTTTTTTATGCCCATTTTCTAAAGGTTAAAACTATTCGTTTAAAAATAAACTGATATTTGTGTATTTTCTGAATATTTATCTCCCTGTACCGCATGCACTTCCTGTTACTCTGCAGCGGCCGTTTTGTTTTGTCCGTAAATGTGTTTAAAACGGTTCATTTGTCCGTCCGTCACATTCCCTCCATACCCTGATGAATCCTTCAGTTCGCTGCGTTCCCCGGGGCCTGAGAACGTCCTGCTGCAGCCATTAGCTTTACTCAACCTTTTACTTTAGTAACAAGAAGAGCCGTGCCTCCTCATCTGGGCCAAGTGCTTCTCACTATCTGCAGTTAATGGTTGGGAAAACGAGCCCTGCGGCCCACAACGCTGGGGCTCTGAATTAACAGCGTCCACAGCAGAGGGTTAAAGACGCCCCGGGACGGAAACAAATGTTAGCATTCTGACTACAACGCTTTATTTATCGTATCCTTTGTTTGTTTTTTTTCTGTCTGCTACAGGAAACAGTAGAGTATGCGTTCCTCATCATTTTTACCATTGAGACCTTCCTGAAGATCATTGCCTACGGCCTGGTGATGCACCAGAACGCGTACGTGAGAAACGGATGGAACATGCTGGATTTTGTCATTGTTGTCATTGGGTAAGTTCTGTCGCCTGTTAATACATTTTCTTTTTTTCATCTCGACTCTACAACAATGTTTAACCACCAAATTAGAGGGTTTAAAATGACGCCTCGTCTGAGACGCCGAGTGCTAACGAACCTACTGTGTGAGTGACCCGGAAAAGACAGAGAAAATAAATCAAATCTTAACCACGGCTGGAATGAGTCACCATCTTTCCATCCTTCCTCTCTAACACCCTCTCTCTCTCTCTCTCTCGTCTTCCTCCCTCCCTCCCTCCTTCATCCTGCTCTGGTTCGTCTCCGCAGCACATTCTGACTCCACTTTTATCACTCACGCTGTTGAAACTGAAGATTTCCTTCTTTAGAACCTCACCTGATGACCTGTCTAATTTTTCTACACTAGAACTACTGCTGCACCTTCACCCTCTCTCTCTCTCTCTCTCTCTTCCCCCCTCGTCCCCCTCCGTCTCCCTGTCTTTGTCTCTCTCCTCTGACACACACAGTCCACTGAATAGTTGGGTCACATCTCTGCTGTATCTGCTGTGACTGCTGCTGCTTAATCACTGAAATGACTCTCACATCAATTCTTTCTATTGATTTCAACTGTTGTGGGGAATTCAGAACGCTGCGTCGAGGTCCAGCGTAGTATCTGAAAATGTCCTCGATTTGTGTTTCGTTTATTCACTTAACAGATTTAACAGGTGTTGAGAAACAGCTTTGTCTCTCTGAGGTTCTTATGATGACATAGGAAAAACACATTTTACTCCATGAATTTGTATTAGGCAACACGGTGGAGGAGCGGTTAGTGCTCTTGCCCTATATCATAAAGATCACCGGTTTGATTCCCATAGGTAACTGATGGTCTTCCCCTAAATCCAACATCATTCAGGTTGAGCCTCACGGTTTATTTTATATTGATGTAATTTCTGGTTCGAACGCTTCTTCACGATCATGATGTTTTATTGTATAGATTTGATTTTTTTTTTAATTTTTTGTAGTCGTCATTAGGACGTGACTGATTTGGCCTCGGAGGTCCAGATGTAGCAGCTGTGAATTAGAGCAACAGAACCTACATCAGCTCCGGTCACTGTTTTTATCCCACAGCTACAGCTGTGATGAGTCGAGACCATTTCTCTTCCTCTTCCTCTGGTTCAGGAGTGACTCTACGGAAGAATCCTCTCTCATCAGAAATAGATCGAAGTAACGGACGTAACCGTACGATAGCAGAACAAAGCCATGTTTTAAGACCCGTAGAAATAGAGTAGAAGTTGGTTATTGTTTCGGCCATTTCACATTGGTTATTTCTATCTATCACCTACTGTATGATGTAAGATTTTCCTTTAAATGTAGCATTTTTTTAAACAAAGTTAAACACAAAACTAAAGCTAGAATTTAAAGCAGTGAACAGCACATTTACTGCAGTGAGAATCGGGGCCATGTTCCTGCAGACCTCCATTCAGCCCGACGTCTTTCTGCATCCAGCACAGTCGGTTCACAGCTTCCTCTGCTCCACTTTCGGGGTCTTAGTTTTGCTGCATCCATTCCCTTCGTACACAGAGAAAATAAGCAGCGACTTGAATGGAACACTTCCAGCTTTGCATCCATTTGCATATTAAAGGATTTGATGCTGTGGTAGTATTTATATTAATCTACAGAACGGCGCTGGTAGAACGGCTGAAGGGCGCACACATAATGAGTGAGTCGTTTTACACCGTCTCCTGACATCAAAGCTAACATATGAGGTTCCTGTTTGTCCCAGTGTAGCCTGGTGCTATCATTATGTTCTGTGGGTGGCTGTGGGAAAGTGGTGACACGTGCCACAGTGTAATTCCACATTTAAATGTTTCCTTTGTTGGATCGATGGAAGTAAGAAGAGGATTTAGGGCCAGGAAATGTTGTTAAGAAAACACTGCGATGTGACGCCAGTGTGAGTGTGAGTTAGCGACGGGTGAAAACAAAAGGCAGAAAAGACACACGTATTTTAACTGATCTTAAAAATGAACCTTTTATTTATTTAATTTTTAAAAATAGATATAAAACTAAGGATGTCTGTTAATATCGGCCGACCCATATTAGCATAATTATGCGATATCTGTAAGAATCGTTATCGTTTTTTTTTCTTTCCTCCGATAATGAAAACCCAATCACACAACGCCTGGGTTTCGCCAAATGATGTGTGCCCTAAAAATAGTTTTTTGGGGGAAAAACATCTGTATATGAAAGTGAATGTCACTAGATGGCAGCATTGAGGCTCATTTCATTAATCTATTTTAATAGTCAGGGGATTGTATGGAGAATGCTGGTGTCAGAAAAAAAAAATATAATCTTCATCTCCGATTGTTTTGTTTTTCTACCAGACTCTTCAGTGTTGCTTTGGAGCTTTTGACCAAAGATGATAAGGAGGAAGTGGAGGGACCTCAAAGCCATCCGTCGATGCATGGACACGGAGGAAAACCAGGTGGATTTGATGTTAAAGCCCTTCGAGCCTTCCGTGTGCTGCGACCCCTGCGGCTGGTCTCAGGAGTACCCAGTAGGAGGCAACACACAGCATTATGCATGCAAATCATTTCTGTACATACTGCAAAGGTTACACAGTTTGTTTGTTTTTTGTTTGTTTTTAAAGTGAAGTGTAAAGCTGTAGGTACCAGTCCATATGGTCTGTCTCTGCAGACCGCCAGACTGTTTTTATCTTTTCAGCAACATCAACTCAACTACATCAAGTCCCTGCAGACATAAACCCAGAATAACAGCGGCAACTTTTTATATGAACAGAATGTCTCTGGACCGACTACAGGCCTGAGTGTGATTTATGACTCGACTTACCACTGATGTACTGTAGGTGGCAGTAGGACGTCATTAAAGGGAAAAAAAGACCCTCATAAAATACATTTTATTTCACGTGATAAAACCTTTTTTTGTTTATTTGTTGTTTTTTAAAAAAAAGAAATATCATTTTGACAGTGTACAGAAATACACCATTATAATATGATCGAGAGGGAATCATGTTGCATTGTTCTTGCAATAATATTTTGAGCACATGTATCCCAAAACTTTGTCCAATGTGGCTCAAATGTATCAGTTCTTTTTTTTTTTTTTTTTCAAATTTACCTCCTCTAGTACTAATACTATAAGTACTAATACTATCTTGGTGGTTCTATGGTGTAGCGGTTAGCACGCCTGGATTGCAAGTCATGGGTTTGATTCCCAGAGGAACCACATTTCCCTAATGGCGCCTCCTGTGGCAGCTTGTGTCGTTTCCAAAAACTCACACTGTCAGTTTCACCATTTTAGGACGAATAAGGGACTTTATTATTATTATTATTATTATTATTATTATTATTATTATTATTATTATTATGAAAAATACAGCTGCTCAGTTTCTACCCTGTTCCTCAAATACAGAATACGGTGAATAAATTGAGAACCACTCTCTTAGGCTAATTAGCTGTAATCAACCAGACTCATCTTCTAACATCATAAAGAGAAGAGACTCTCTGCAGTTTTCTCATTTATCGCTGTGTTGAGTATGTTCTTTCCTTTCTCTCCTCCATAGGTTTACAGGTGGTGTTAAACTCCATCATTAAAGCCATGGTCCCTCTCCTTCACATCGCCCTGCTGGTCTTGTTTGTCATTATCATCTACGCTATTATCGGCCTGGAGCTTTTCATTGGCAAAATGCACGCAACCTGCTATTGGTCTGGAACAGGTACCGCCCTCAGCGCCAACACAATCAACTCCATGCTGTGAACAATGGGCATTTCAATACTTAAAAAGGGGGATTTTTGTGTTAAATGACCAGACTCTGAAGAGCACCGTGCTTGTTTGTGCAACAACTAGTGTATTTTTTTTACTCGATTAAAAAGAACAGGTCATACGTCTGATTTATTTATATTTCACAAAGAAATAAAACTTTAAAAAATTCCAAATATGCCCAATATGAGTAAAAGTAGCTTTTATTTCATTCTGATTGTGTAAAAAAACAAACAAACAAAAAAAAACGTGTCTTGTTTTCTAGACGTGATAGCTGAGGAGGAATCGGCTCCATGTGCGATCTCAGGTCACGGGCGCCAGTGCCCCCTCAACGGCTCCATGTGCAGGGAGGGTTGGCAGGGTCCCAATAACGGCATCACCAACTTTGACAACTTCCTGTTTGCCATGTTGACGGTCTTCCAGTGCATCACCATGGAGGGCTGGACCGACGTCTTGTACTGGGTGAGTCCCTTCACTGTGTGATGTGTCCACTGTAGTTCTGCTGACATCCTGATGATGGAGCTGCTGGTTCTTTCCTCCAGGCGGCTCTCATCACTCTGGTCTGATTGATTGATTGATTGATTGGTTTTCTGAAGGCTTTTAGCAGCTACTCTGACAACACTATGCTTTTCTTTAACGTGGGGGTTCGCTGCTCCGTCAGACAACAGAAGCTAATTTTAGGTGCGGAGATTCAAATAGGGATCGTCTCTGAGATAAAAGGAGAAGAATTGTAAAAATGAACAAATGAAGAAAACACAATAATAGATTCTCTGAATCCAGGACTTTGGGGGAAAAAAAAAGTATTTTATTTTTAAGATCTTTACCACAAGTGACGCCCCACAGAAGCTGAGCCTCAACAGATATAATGTGGGAATGTAATAAAAAAATAACTTGTGGTCGTAAAGTGTGAAATGTAAAACAAAAATAAATATATATTTCATATATGTACATACATACATACATATAAGCCCTCCTCTGAGGAATCCCCACGGTTTTATAAGCTTCACACTCTGTATTTTCTTCATCTGAAGTGAAATCTTTGGTTGTTCTGTTTGTCACTGTCAGCTCTGACTCCGCTCTCTGTCCTGTTTCTACTTCCTCTCCTCCTCTTCCTCCTCCTCCTCCTCCTCCTCTTCCTCCTCCAGATGAATGATGCTATGGGCTTTGAGCTTCCGTGGGTGTACTTTGTGAGTCTTGTGATCTTCGGCTCCTTTTTCGTTCTTAACCTGGTGTTGGGTGTGTTGAGCGGGTAAGCACCTCCTCCTTCTCTTGGCTGACAGAGAACCTGCGCTGGGTTCTCTGTCACCCCCTGCTGTCCTGTCTGTTAACCACATGCCTTTGACTCCTGTAGGTCAACGATGCCGTCGGATGGGAGACCCCGTGGCTTTATTTTGTTAGCCTGATCATACTTGGCTCCTTTTTTGTGTTGAACCTTGTGTTGGGTGTGCTGAGTGGGTAAGAGGTGTGGCCTGTGGCGTGGTTTCAGATTGCAGTGGGTTGAAGTTCGTTTGCAGTGGTTTTTATTTATTTATTTATTAATGCACTGTTTGAATTGTTTTGCCTGTCAGAGCGTCTGTAACTTATTATCAAATACTGACAATAACAGATGTTTCCCGCCCTACTCCCTGCATCTGATTGGCTACTCTCAAACACGCTCGTCTAATCAGTTTATGACCAGTGATGACTTTACTGTCATAGGAAAAAAAAAAAAGCTGATCTGCATCATCGTCATCGTCAGTGTGTGCACTTATGCAGACGACGACTTCGCTCTTTAAATGACCTGACGTTGAGACCTTTTCAGTTCCGGTTGTTTTAGTTGGACTTCTGTGTTGCTGATGCTGCCGTTTTTACGGCCTCTTTGTCGTTGTCCGTGGATTAGTTTGAGTTCCAGACCCGTTCTATGGCTTATTTAGAAACAGTCAGAAACACATATATCACACCGGGCGCCTTAATATACAGTAAATATATCTTCATACTCAGGCGTTTTCTTTTTTTTTTCCTCTGACTTTTGTCCTTTTTTTTTTACCACAACTGCAAAGTGAGCATTTCCCAGCATCCTCCAGCCCCGACCTACCCAACGTTCTGAGGGAGAAATTAATCTTATTCCTCGCCTTTCACTTCCTTTGCGCTCCTAAGCTTTCTGAAATCACGGTTTGCTTTCCCAGCTCAGTGCAGAAGGGGGGATGGGGTTCTGCGTCTTACCAACAGCCACCCCTGGAGGGAGAGTGGGGGGGGGTGTTTCAGTGCTGTCTGTTGACATCTTGTAGTTTCAGCAGTAATTATTGATGGAGTGTAAATGTGGCCCGTCTCACCGAACCATCTGCCTTTTCTGTGTGATTTTTAAATGCAGCCCTGAAGAATATGTTACTGTACTATCAGGCTCCACATATACAGTAGCTGTGTGCCGTATTTCAGCGGTGTACGTCTCCCCCCAGTGGCCAGGCTTTAAAAAAGCACTCATTTAGCAGTAATATCTTTGAACTCAAATAATATGGGACTCTGCTGGGAGAACAATTGAACTTGAAGTATCATTATCAAATACCAATTTACTTAATTTTTGTACAGTTAAAATTAAGGCTGTGAACTTTTTATTCTCAGATGAGAAGGAATCAGGATTTTTTTTCATATTTATATATAAATATCTTATATATCAAGTTGTGTTCTTTAGGCTCATTCAACAGAAATACAGAGCTGTTTAAATTTTACACATTATGACATTTTATATATATATGATATATATTATATTATATGCTGCATTTTTATTACATTATATTAAAATAATGGTTAAAAAAATCTTGGTTATTGTTACCCTCGACCAATATTTGGGCGTCGAACCCCTTTGAAGAAACAATTCCTAGCGGATATTTTTTTTAATGCACTTGCTGTGGTTTTACTTCTCTTCTGTGTGTTTGTTTGTATTTTGTACTTTTTGCTGTAAAGGAATATTTCATATATATATACTGTATATATTTTATTTTTTATTAAAATGCCTGTGTACTTCTTTATGAAATCAGAGAGTTTTCCAAGGAGAGAGAAAAGGCCAAGGCCCGCGGAGACTTCCAGAAGCTGCGTGAGAAGCAGCAGCTGGAGGAGGATCTGATGGGTTACCTGGACTGGATCACACAGGCGGAAGACATCGACCCTGAGGACGAGGCCGAGGAGGGCAAACGCACCCGTAAGCACCGAGTTGTCCAGTAACGAATGTAGATGGAGAATTATTTTTAATGTTTAGAAAAAGTGTAGAATATATATAAAAGTATAACAGTTACAGGTGTTAATGTGGTTTGTTTGTCTTGTCAGAAAACGTCTCAAATTGTTTATAAAAACAAAAGGACCATGACATTATTCTGTGTTTTAAACGGGTTAAATATCAGTTGGAATGAGAGGGAAATTTAGGAAATTGAAAAGAGAGGAATATGTGATAATACTTTTATTATTATTTCCTTATTCTATATATTTGTGCATACATAAGCATATATTTTGGACACAAGTCTTCTTCCTTAACCACCGTAGGTTAGTCTTTATACTGACGCGACAAAATGATGGAGAAATTGTAGGAAAAAGTACTGGACAAATAGGGAATATACTCAGGGAATGCAGTACTTTTGTAGCATTACCATAGAAATAAAAGCCATCAGCAGAACGAGCCTTAGACACAGTGACAAATGGAGCTCCACACAGGAAAAGTTTTTTTGTAAACAAAGCAGTGAAGTTGCACATTTTGCAAATGTTAAAAGAATTAATTTTATTATACGCAGATAATCCATTTACCTTTGCTCATAAATTACTATATTACTTGTGTTGTTCACTGTGTTTCAGCTGTTCTGTAGTACACAGTCGTTCATACCTATAGTCTTTTTTTTTTTAAAGATTCCCATTGAAAACATCACCAGAACCACAGTCTCTGTGTGTGTGCTCCATGCTGCGTCTCGTCAACATCCATCCCGGCCGTTGGTGTCTGTGAACAACACGTTAGCTTCTACCGACATGTGAGAAGGCAAATGCTTTAATTTGCCTGCTCACATGTCAGTCCAGGTCTGTGGTCCGTGGCCTTCGTCGGGGTCCGCGCCCCCCCCCCCCCACCCCACCGTGGCTCCCGCTGCGCTTGTCATCGTTGGATATTGATTTCTTTGAACACTGTTGTTGTCCTGTGATGCCTGTGTGCTCTGACCCATTTTGATAGCAGCCCATTCTTCGTCTCCACTCCCCCCCCCCCCCCCCTGCTCCTGGTATCAACTACTGGACCACCTATTACTCTCGTCCCAATGAGTAATGTGACTCTGGCTGACCTCACTGGGAAGAAGAAAGGAATGTTTGGGTGGTTCAGCCAGTCGTCCGACACTCATGGTAAATCCTGTGCTTTCCCACCGTTGTTCTACAGCTGTTGAAATTGTCCTGTTATGTACTGGTGTCAAACTGAGTGTCAAACTGAGTGTGAACATAGAACAGCTAAACGTACCTTTGGTTCTGAGCATCAACTCAGACACGACGGTGCCGTAAAAATTGCACCTAAATATAAAAAATACGTCCAAACTAAGGTTTGTATTTGGTTGACAAAAAAAAAGGTGAGTGCTGAGTGAATCTGTGTCTGTGAAACACGTACGTACGTCCTCACTGTGTGCCTCGATCCTCATGTTTGAACATCAAAGAACTTATTTTTGTTTCCCTCTTGATGTCAGTCAGTTTTAAATGTTCAAATGTTAAACACTGCGGTGTTTTTTTTTACACCATTCCATTTCTCAGTTATTATTGGATTTAAAAACATATATATAAAATTTGATATTTATCATTTGACCTTTTCTCTGGGTAAATGTCCTGGTAAAATCTGGCCGATCGTTTTTTTGTTTTTTTTTATTTCTGTATTTTTCTCTCCTCTTCTTTTGAAAACTTCCTGCTCCTGGGAGTCACTGTGTTGTTTCTGTGTCAAAGTAACCAAGAACAACACAGGGTTAATTTCTCGTCTTTATTTCTGTGTCTAACTCTCGATCTGCGTCTTTGCTGCAGCGAGCGTTCCAGCCAGTGAAACTGAGTCTGTGAACACGGAGAATCAGAACGGGGAGGACGAGAAGACGCCGTGCTGCGGAACTCTGTGGTGAGAACGTGCAGCGTGAACGCGACGACCGTCGTGTTGACAACATTTAACTCCAATTTTTAAATTTAAAATCTAATCACAAACTCTTTTGTTTTTCAGTCAAAAGATTTCAAAGTCCAAGTTCAGGTCAGTATTTTTTTTTTGTGTCTCACTGCTTCAGGTTGTGTTTGCAAAGTTTGTTAAAGACGGAGCCGTGAGGCAGGAAGAGAAGGAGAAAAAAAACAACATTTATAGAGAAATAAACAGAAGACAATAACAACATTATGGCTCCTCTACATTAATGTTGTTTTTTTATCTGTTTCATCGTCTCTGTTTGACTGACTGTGACCGGACACACGCTGTTTTCTCCACTAATGGTTTCATATCTTCGTTTCCCTGTAGTCGGCGCTGGCGCCGCTGGAACAGGTTCTGCCGCAGGAAGTGCCGGTTGGCGGTGAAATCGGTGCCTTTCTATTGGCTGGTCATCATCTTGGTGTTCCTCAACACACTCACCATATCCTCGGAACATTACAATCAACCCATGTGGTTGACGCAAGTCCAGGGTACGAACACCGCGGTCCACGTGTCCACAAAGTCTGATCTGTTTGAGACGAGTGTGGTAAAAAAATTATTTATTTTTTCCCAGATGTGGCCAACAAGGTGCTGCTGGCCATGTTCACCTGTGAGATGTTGGTGAAGATGTACAGTCTGGGTCTGCAGGCCTACTTCGTCTCCTTGTTCAACCGATTCGACTGCTTCGTGGTGTGTGGAGGAATTACAGAAACCATTCTGGTGGAGTTTGAAATCATGTCTCCTCTGGGCATCTCCGTGTTCCGCTGTGTGCGTCTGCTGAGGATCTTCAAGGTCACGCGGTAGGACAGTCTTCACACCTCCTTGACTGTGTGGAAACAAAGTGTTTTCCTCTTCTCTTATCTTATCTTTCAACCCCGACCCCTCACCCCTGACCCCCCCCCTCAGCCACTGGCAGTCGCTCAGTAACCTGGTGGCGTCTCTGCTCAACTCCATGAAGTCCATCGCTTCCCTGCTGCTGCTGCTCTTCCTCTTCATCATCATCTTCTCCCTCCTGGGGATGCAGGTGTTTGGTGGAAAGTTCAACTTTGACGAGACTCAAACCAAGAGGAGCACTTTTGACAACTTCCCCCAGGCCCTCCTCACCGTCTTTCAGGTACTTGGCTGATCAGCAACTTTTTCTTTTCTGCATCGGTTCCAAAAAACGCAGGGATACGAGGAAAATCGTGGACATGAGATTTATATCAGTGGTTCCCAAACTTATTCTCCAGACAGAACTGTTGTCCAGCCCAGTTCACATTTGTGAAACTTTGCATTTAGACGAGGGGTCTCAAACTGTGGCCCGTGAACCCCTCACAACGTCCATCACCTCGGTGTTAATTTTTTAACATTTACATTTATGTATTTATGTATTTAGCAGACGCTTTTATAACAGTCAAGCATGTGGTTCCTCTGGGAATCGAACCCAGGACTCTCTGCTCTCTGTTTCCGAGGCAGGCTCACTAACGGCTGCACCATGGAGATTAGTTATAGTAATAATAGTAATTGAATTTTGCCCTTTACGTCTATATTTATAAATATTGAAATGCTTTAGTTGATTATTAAAAAATGGGGAAAATAAATTAGTGAGTTTGAGTTTGAGTCCCCTGTTTTAGACACTTCACCTAGGCCCGTCATCAAAGTGCAGTTCATTGTCTTTTTGTCCCACGTCCCCTGCCTCCAGTTTATATTTAAACACAGGTTAAAGAGAAGAGAAACTGAGGACGATGAAATAATCCAGAGTTTATCTCTCACAGAGCCAGAAATCAATAAATCCATAGTGGGACTTGAACCAAATGCATCTATAATTCACTGTAGTTCAGTGACAGAGAGAGGGACTTTACAGTAAACTCTTCACTCTCCACTGACCTTTTTCACAGCGTTAACACTGAATAAGAACCTTTTTATGGTGACGGTCCACTGAACTTTTTCACAGCGTTACCACTGAATAAGAACCTTTTTATGGTGACGTTTATTCTGTACTTTTTTAGTAAAACTGCTGCAGTGTCAGTGACTGAAGTCTGTGTTTGTAGTCGTACATTTGTGTCAAATATTATCCCAGTCTTCCTGCAGTTCCGACAGTTGTCTCATCACTGTCAACATGATTGATTTCAGATCCTGACGGGAGAAGACTGGAACGCCGTCATGTACGATGGAATCATGGCCTACGGAGGTCCTTCATCCAGCGGGATGGTTGTGTGCTTCTACTTCATCATCCTCTTTATCTGTGGAAACTGTATCCTGTCACAGGCAGCGGTTTGAGTTTGAGTCATGTTTAAACTTTAGTTTTCAAGGAAGTTTTTTTATGATAAATGTCTGTTCTGGAGGAGGAGAGAGAGGGGAAACCAAACTGATCCTTCTGTGGTTGATGGTTGAAAACCTGCTGACCGTCTTCTTGGCCATCGCTGTGGACAACCTGGCAGATGCCGAGTCTCTGAACACAGACGACGGAGACAAGAAAGAGTGATTATTCATCTTCAAATCCAACATCATATCAAACACTCACCGTTTTTTCCTCCGGTGTGTTTTATATTTATTTTTAAAATGTCTGTGTTTCAGTGACAAAGCGGACGATGAGGTCCAGGACAAGGTAGCCGTCCTTTCTCCCTCACACCTTCACAGAAGTCTAACGTTTGAGACTTCAGTTCAACCTCTGCTGTTTTGTCTTCTTCTGTCTGGCCACTAGGAGGAGGAGGAGGAGGAGGAGGACATTGACGACACCGCAGCGGAGGAGGAAGATCCTGAAGTTCCCTCGGGGCCTCGACCCGTCATCTCTGAGCTGGTGAAGAAGGAGAAGATCACTCCCATCCCTGAAGGAAGTGCCTTCTTCATTTTTAGCAGCACAAACCCGTAAGATGCACCCGCTCCGTCCCCCCCCACTGTCTCCCCTCACACACACACACTCTCACACACACCTTTCTGTGCTCTGCAGGGTTCGTGTGTTCTGCCACAGACTCATCAATCACCACATCTTCACCAACCTCATCCTGGTCTTCATCATGCTCAGCTCCGTCTCACTCGCTGCCGAGGATCCGATCCGAAACTTTTCAGCGCGAAATATTGTAAGTTTTTAAAACTTCACGTCGATGAATGAGTTTCTGTAGTTGGAAAAAAATATACGTTAATCTTTAAATCTTAAATCTTTACACTTTAATGACTCCATTTAATCAATGATTAATCTGTTTATTACCTATTTATTACAACAGAGAAAAACATTAAATTAAACATTATATTTTATATAAAATGTTTTGTCTGTGTTTAACCCTTTTCTTTCCAGTTTGTTTTACGTCCGTGATTTAGGCGATAATTTTAGAACACAATTTATCAAAGACATTATTTTATCAGTAAAATTACTGTGTAAAACAGTACATTCACCTGAAGGAGACACATTTTTGGACTAAACAGAAGTATTTTTCAGTATCAGATTTAAACATTCCTGTGATATATTATTTTTTCAATAAAAAAAGAAAAAGAAAGTAAACTTGATCTGTTTCCTAAAAAGGCCATAAATGTTAAAACTAAAACAGTCGTTTGGCAGAAAGAATTAAATTTTAATTCGAATCAAAATTGAATTCCGTCAAGTTTTTTTAAATTTTTGAACACATGAATTGATTTTTTTTTAAATCACAGTGCAGATATATAAATATCCAAATTGAAATTCTTCTTCCATGTTGCACCCCCTCGTCAATCCCCCATAATCCCCTGCAACTGCCAGTAGCCAACAGCAAACCACTAAACATCTTTTCTGTGACTGTTAGAAAAAGTTCAACTACAGACAGAATGACTGATTTATTTATTTATTTATTTATTTATTATATATATTCCTGTTGATCATGTGCTGCCTGACAGATAATATTTCCAGTTTTACTTTAATGTTTTTTCTCTCTTCTCTCCTCCTTGTTTTTTTTTATATATATATATATATACTTTTTTTAAAAAATCTATATCTAGTTCATATTTATCCTACTCAATGACCTGTCTTTGTTCAACACCTGCGTTGCTCTTTGCAGATACTTGGTTACTTTGACTATGCTTTCACGGCTATCTTTACTGTTGAGATCGTGTTGAAGGTAAATGTCTTGTGTGTGTCCCCGTCCGTGCTGTCACTAACCCCACCTCAATCCAACGTCTCGTTGCCTTCCAGATCCTAGGCTATGCAGATTATGTCTTCACTAGTATGTTTACATTTGAGATCGTATTGAAGGTAACCCCTTAAGTGACAATAAGGGCTTTGCTGCATTCTCTCCCTGTGTGTCACCTGCCACTCAATCCAGCCTGGCTTGTTTGTTTCCTTTCTCCTATCTGACTTGATTTCTTTTTCTTCACGGCACCTCTTTTACAAACCAAAAAAAAAATCCAAAACAAAAACATAAAAAAACCAAACACAGAGCACGTGATTTGTGCCAAAACTGACTCCTGTCGGGGGGAAGGAAACATCACATTGACATTCAACTCTACTCACGTCATTTGGGCTGCCATACTGGAATGATTCTCATGATGCAAACGTTAGCCTAGCCGGCTGTTAGCAGACCTTTGATGAAGGCGTTGGCTGGAGTTGCTGCAACAGAGATGTGAAGTCAACTCCGGTCAACGCCGACGATGCCTTGCCTCTCTCTCTCTCTCTCTCTCTCTCTCTCTCTCTCTCTCTCTCTCTTTCTCTCTGACTGACCGACTGCTCTCAGATTACACAATAAAAGAGGGGGCAACAGCGGCCATGTTCTCGCCAAACATGGTCCGTCTGCCTTCCCTGACTCTGTGTGTAGAGATGTGGAGTCGTGTCTGCAGATCTGTTTGACTTTAAAGCTCTCAGTTGGCAGCACTAACTCCTCCGGTCGTCTCCGTGCACGACTCCACATTTGCACACGCACCGAGTGAATTCAGAAATCCTTTTTGATTAGATCCCGTTGGCTGTTTGCGATCTTCTCTGCCTGTGCGCCTCCTCAGGTTCCAAACAGAGCCTTTCCTCCCTTTTAGTTCTGAAATTTACAAGATGATTTTATTGGATGTGTTTTTAGTTCGTGGTCCACATGAATGTGACAGTAAGGTCATATCTGTTTTCCAATCGCCGTCAATCTTTGCTTAAATACCCCCTCCCCCCCCCCCCCCGACATCATGGCAACAAAATGCATGTTTTATTGCCTCATCCCGTAGCAGATTGTGAAATGAATGACTTACTACTACATTCATGCAGTTCTGGGCCACAGGGGTTGGAGATTTTTGCCTTCTATACTGTAGCGCTGACCTAAGGTCGCCACCCCGACCCAGAGTGTTGAAACAGAGTGTGTGTGTGTGTGTGTGTGTGTGTGTATGATTGATGAGAAAGTTGATCACCGTCGTATGTCGCCGTCTCTGACACTGTTCACCCTCCCACCAGATGACCACATATGGAGCTTTCCTACATAAAGGAGCGTTCTGTAGGAATTACTTCAACCTCCTTGACCTGTTGGTGGTCGGGGTCTCCCTCGTCTCCTTCGGAATTCAGTGAGTCGAAACACCAGGAAAAGTCATTTAAGGAATGACTGTTCAACACTTTATTACCTAGAAGATTTTAAGTGTCAATATTAAAGACACTTTTCTGTTACCTGCCTGTTCAAAGGCTGTGGTTCTCAAAGTGGGGGGCGCCTTATTTTTTCATTATTATATTGCTCTGCTTTGTAATTGTTATTATTTTGTAATATTTATTTTTAAGCTCTGTTTTATTATGAAGTAAAACATTTTATTGTGTCCAGATTGGGGCAGAGGGCAGTAGTTATTCATTTCTTTTTGAAACATTGAATTTGCTTCTCGTTTCACAGCAGCCATTTACTAAACAATACTTACTGTTTAGGTCCTCGGCCATCTCAGTGGTGAAGATTCTTAGGGTCCTTCGTGTCCTTCGGCCCCTCAGGGCCATCAACAGGGCCAAAGGCCTGAAGGTACGACGGCCTCTTGACATCATTCCCAGCAGGAAGTTCACATCTCAACGTTTTCTGAAAACCTTTTTTATTTTACTTGAATGTTTTCTGAAAACCTTTTTTATTATTATTATTTTTTCTGCAGCATGTAGTGCAGTGTGTGTTTGTGGCCATCAGAACCATCGGTAACATCATGATCGTCACCACTCTGCTCCAGTTCATGTTCGCCTGCATCGGCGTGCAGCTCTTTAAGGTGGGCACTTCAACAGATCGATGTGATACGGGGGCGATTGAACCGTCAGGTCAAACTGCCTTGCTTCTTTTCTCCACAGGGGAAGTTCTACCGCTGCACAGATGAAGCCAAGTCCAACCCTGAAGAGTGCAAGTTAGTGTGACTGTCTGTGTTTGTGCGTAACGCCCAGCGCTACGCTGTCATCAAACGTGTGCTCCTTTACCTCAGGGGAACGTACATCGTGTACAAGGACGGGGACGTGAACCAGCCGACCATGCACAAGAGGGTGTGGCACAACAGTGACTTCAACTTCGACAACGTCCTCATGGCCATGATGGCTTTGTTCACGGTGTCGACCTTTGAAGGCTGGCCTGCGTAAGATTTGACCTTCTGACCTTTCAACACAACAGAAAGTCTTTCGTTTACAGTCTGTACTGACTTTTCTGTCGACATTCTGATAATTTAAGAACCCTTTTAGTTGAATATGGTACATTTTATCTAACTTTAAGGTAGCTTTTTAGCTAATTGTGGTACATTTTATCTAACTTTAAGGCTTTTTAGCTAATTAACTACGTTACTAAATAACAGGCTTATTTAATTAAATGTAAATAATACTTTTCTGGTTCATGTATTTAAAATACTAATGCTACTTTTAGCAACTTATTTAAATAAACTTTATTGTGTATAAACCATTTTTTATTTGATTTAACTTTGTCCTTTTAGATACTTGGAGTTTCATTCGTTTGTTGATATTTAACCATTTCTTAATAAACTTAAAAAACTAAAGTTATTTTTATATATTCCTTCAAGCTCCTCCTAATATTTAAATACAGTAGATTCAGTAGACAGACATTTTAGGTTCATTTTTTAACCACTAACTTGTTCCTAATGCTTCTGTGTAATTTCACATGTACTTTCATTTCTTCTTAGTTATTTTCTAACTGCGTTGACTTTCCTCAGGTTGCTGTACAAGGCCATCGACTCCAACAGAGAGAATCTGGGTCCAATTTACAACTACCGCGTGGAGATTTCCATCTTCTTCATCATCTACATCATCATCATCGCCTTTTTCATGATGAACATCTTCGTGGGTTTCGTGATCGTCACGTTCCAGGAACAGGGAGAGAAAGAGTACAAAAACTGTGAACTCGACAAGAACCAGGTGAGTGTGACGACGAGTGTGACGACGAGTGTGACGACGAGTGAGGAGAACATGGCTGATCTTGAACATGAAGGAAACTGAAGTCGTTCTGTCTGTATGCAGCGTCAGTGTGTTGAATACGCTCTGAAGGCTCGTCCCCTGAGGAGGTACATACCCAAGAACCCGTACCAGTACAAGTTCTGGTATGTGGTGAACTCCACTGGGTTTGAGTACATCATGTTTGTACTTATCATGCTCAACACGCTCTGCCTGGCTGTGCAGGTAGGACGTTAGCTTTAACCTAATGATTTAATTTTGAAGTAACAATAACACCAGAGAGACTCTGTATCTCCCACTTTGTATAATTCTCTATTTCACTTCATGTTCTGCAGCACCACGGACAGTCGGCGACGTTCAACTACGTCATGGACATTCTTAACATGGTCTTCACTGCTGTCTTCACTGTGGAAATGGTTCTCAAACTGATCGCTTTCAAACCCAGGGTGAGTCACCAAATTACCCCTCGTTAGTTGATGTTTGTTCGTTTAATCTAAGACTCAAATATTTAAAAAAAAATGACATTCATGAATATAGTTTATAGTTTATATCTCATGGCCTTTGGCTTTGGATAAAGAAACTCACTCTTGTAGCGAAGTTCATATGAAAATTCACAATAAATATTAATGTCATAATGGAAGGTTTATGGGAAACATTACCATCTTTAATACCAGTATTAAATCTTTGTCAGTCATTTCTGTAAATCCTGATTCTGTTCAAGAGATTTTCATTCCTATATACACTGTAGTTGTGAATCCAGTAAATTCAGAAGTTTTGGTTGAACTTGCCCTTTCTTGTAAAATCAGAAGTTTTGGTTGAACTTGCCCTTTAGCAGCAAATGTGAAGGTGTAAAAGATGGTGTTTCTGTCACTCTCCCTACGACTGCTCCACCTCAACAACAGCTGTGTGTTCCAAAGAAAGACAGGATGCTAGTAAGAGACCTGAGAGTGTGGAGTGGAGTGGTTGCTGTGATTTTTTAAATTTATTTATGTTTTACTAGTTAGCGACCGGCTTAAACTGCATGAAAAGTTAAAAATAAAAACGTCATCATCTGATAATTTGACTGATTTTAAGAATAGAGCTGCTCAGCGTTGCTTTGCTGTGTGTTTGAAGTTAACAGTAATATTAAGACTTGAATTTGAGAATGAGGATTTTTTTTGTTTTTGATTATTTTACTTTCACTCCCTCTACACTCCGCGGTGATCAGGGCTACTTTGGGGATGCCTGGAATGTGTTTGATGCCCTGGTTGTTATCGGCAGCATTGTAGACATTGTTCTCAGTGAGATTGATGTAAGTAAGCTAATCCTCGACAACCTGCCTCGCCTCGTCCTCTGTCCTGTCTCTGACAGCTAACCCACCTCCACTCTCACTATGGCAGGTCTCCTGTTTCTGACTGTTTAATCTAATCTAATCTATGCTAATGTTTTTTTCTCTCTCTTTTTCTCTCTGTTCTGTCTGTTCTCCTTCCACTACCATTTCTTTAAAACCTCATTCTTCCTTCTTCATATTTCTCTCTCTTTTTCTGGTGTTTATTTTTTTCTCTCTCTACTCTTTCTCTCTCACCATCCCTACCCTGTGTGATGTGTCATGTTGTGCGTTACCAGCACTATTTCACTGATGCTTGGAACACATTTGATGCCTTAATTGTTGTTGGTAGCGTCGTTGACATTGCTATCACTGAAGTGAATGTAAGTACTCTCTTTTTCTGCCTTCTCAGTTGAACTGAAGTCTTACTTAAAAGCCAGATGCTAATCAACCGCAGTGTTTTGTTTCTGTGCTGGGTTTTGGTTCTCAGAGTGGTGTCAAACATCAGGGCTGCGGGCCCCACCTGGCCCAGATCTCCCATGTTTTTAGTCAATAAGTGTTTCACTGCAGAGAGCTAACTTCATGTCTACTTAATCAGTTACTTAATGGTAATTTGGTGATAAATCATGTTTCCCCTAATTGGAAAATTATGTTCATGTTTCCCCTAATTGGACCACCCAGGATAAATCATGTTTCCCCTAATTGGACCACCCAGCAGCCAATCACATGCTAACATGTCCTCTAACATAAGCTTTTGTCCTGTTGTGTGTTCATTGTTTATTTATATTGTTCTGAACAATAAGAGAAAAGTAGCTGCGTTTACAGATATCTATTTACGAGAGTCAGATTACAGTCAGATTACAGTCAGATTACAGTCAGATTACAGTCAGATTGAATGTGATTCATTTTTGGCTTTTACTGTAAAACTTCAGTTTGACCTTCGCTGTCTCGTATCTGTGCTACATTTCCATAGAATGTGTGTAGAAGTCTGTTCTGATGGATTTTTCTCAGTGTGTTCAGAAACGTTTTATTACAGGAAACACAGTGAAGACTCAGACAGTTAACCAATGACTTCCAGTAACGTTTTTGGTTTTTGTTTTTTTGGTTCTGAACCAGATGTTTTGTGATTTCATTTTCTAATCCCTGCTCTTGTTTACATTGTTTCCATAGAAACTTGTAGAGGCAAGTATGACGTTGAACTGGACTTTTGTTCTGTGTGTGACCTGGTGTTTCAGAACAACTTTATCTTTTGGGCCCCACTTAAAGTCAGATAAATATATACATATATAAATAATTTTTATTGAGAGTATATTTAAGCAGGAATTTAAATGTTTAATTATCCAGTTAACCTTTGAGAGAGTTAGTTTATTGATCAGTAAATTGTAAAACCTGAATATAGCTTTTAAAAAGGAAAACATCTCTGCGATTTTTAAATATACTTTTTTATTATATTGAAGTAACGTTAATTTCCTTTTCACTATTTCTGCCTAACAGGTGGATGAAAAAAATAGATAAATAATCCCAAAAAAATCCTCAAATATTACACCATATATACAGTATTTTCAGAGCGTCACATTTGTCTAACTTCAGTTAGTGATTTGGAGCTGCTGGTGTGTGGTTTGTTTTTTTTTAGCCAATCTTCCAGCTCAGACTGTTCATCCTGTTCTGTTGTCTGAGCTGCAGTGCTGTTTTGCTGGAGTATAAATATTTCATTTTTTATTTTTTATTTTTTTCAGTGCCTGCATGAGTGTGAAAAAATGAAACCGATAACTTTTATTTTAAACCTGTGGTGATAATTGTGCTGTTGTTGGGTTTGTTCATTGTTGTGCATGTGTTTTGTGTATTGTGAACTATGTACATGTTGTGCTGTACATGTAAAAAAAACGTTGTACGTGGAGAGCTGTGTTGTGACGACATGACGCAGACTTCACAAGGGCTCACACACTGGCTCTTGTGAGGCATTTTTTATTTTTACATTCCATTTATTGATTTTGTTTGTTGTTGTTGGTTTTTTTTTCTGCATGTTGTTGAAACAAACTGATCAGATCAGATAACAAACTGGTCAGTTTTTATCCCTGCTGTGTTTTGGATTGTACAGCTGTTAACCTGGCCACTGTGACTTCTCCATTTGCATGCTGGGAAGTCTCAATCAGCCGCTCACCTTGTTCTCTAACATCCATTTCATGTTCCTGCCTCTCACAGATTGCGCTTGGCCACCCACTTCACTCCCCTCCGGTTAGTTGTTTCCATAGTGTTTTGTGGAGTTTGACTTTCTTTCTCTGTTCACACTCATCTTCATGGTTTCCTCCAGACAGAATGGCCCTGAAGCTCAGTGCTTCAAAATATATTTTTCTTAGCAACAGTAAGAAATCTTTTGTTGCAGCGTCAGTGAAGTTCAAGATCGGAAATTTAAAAAAATATAAATCACATTTTCTTTTTACTTGAAAGACGTGATGATGACGTGACAATGATATTCAATTGAAAGGAAATCAATGTCACAGTGTAGCTTGGTCGTCAGAGGTCAGTGTGTATGGTCAATATGAAGTAGTACGAGGTCACAGAGTTTTAGTTTCAGTGGTGAACACAGCCCAGAAATTAAAAATCCAACGAAATGAGTTCAAACAGTGCTCACAATAACGTTACAAGAGCAACGCAACATGAACCAGCGGTTATTATAGTTGTTATAAGTGTGGACAAAAATGATTTAAACCAACTTCCTTGTTTTGTTTTTAACTGCTGGGCTGCATTCACAGTCTGAACAACAACAACAATGACTGTTGTTTTTGAGGGTTTTTAAATTTTTTTTTCTTTTTATAATTACTAGACTATAGTGTTTTTGCAAAAGATAAATCTGCTTAAATTGGTCAGAGTTCTTCTTTAGGAAACGGATACGAACATAAAAAAAAAATGCTTTCGACCTTTGTCTGTTTTCATGTATCAGGACTTGATCATGAGAAGCAGCAGAACTGTTAACGTTAGTCCTGCTGTGTTTTTTTTTTGTTTGTTTAATTTTTTTTTCAACATTTGCGCTGACGGCGGTTGAATTGAAGCTGAGTTTGAGGTTCTTTGATGATCTTGTCTCTGTGTGTCTGTGAGTGATTGTCTCTGTGTTTTGTTCTGTCTTCCTGTAGTGAGCTCTTAAAGCTCAGAGTGGAGCTCATGTGTAGCTGCAGGTGTGTAGACTCCAGTCAGGTGCATGAACATCCCAACACGGATCCTCTGCTCTCCTCTCCTCTCCTTCACCTCCTCTGCCTGTCTTCCCCCCCCCCCCCTCTGACTCACCCTCTCTGGTCTCTGTGTTTTTCTTATCTTTTCTTTTCTTCCTGTCTTTCATTTCCTCTCGTTCCACCTCTGTCTGCACCCTGACTGTGAGAGCGCCCCTCTGTGTTGGTTTTGTTGCACAGGGCACTAATGACATGCATGAGTTGCTGCACTGCTATGAGTTCACCAGCGGCTCCTCCTCATCCAAATGTGCCAACGCTGAACGCATGCTCCCTCTGCACTGTGGCCAGGATTACCTAAAGAACCTCCTCCAGCCAGTTCTCCATGTTATCATCTCTGCTCACCCTGCACCTCATTCTGACCAGTTCAATGAAGCCGTTTCTGTCTGGAGCGCCTGCCTCTGAATTCTTTCCCTTCTCGGTGTCGACTCCAGGTCCAGTCTAAAACCACAGCTGTCAAACGACTGCACAAAAACCAAATCCATCCTGAGTGACTAAACACTGTGATTGTCTGTGGGTGGAGATTTGTTTGTGACCTTTATTTGATTTTTTTTGTCTACTAAAATGTTGACTAAAATTTTACTTTAAAATATAAATCCCATTTCCAGAAAAAAAAATACTTATACTCTCTTTGTTTAGCATAAAACTGTAACTTTAAAAAAAAACTTTCAAAGCCTTTTTGTTTTGCAGGTATAATTTTAAAATATTTTTCAAAAAACAAAAAAAAAAAAAAAAGTGAAAAATGAATGAAACTATTCAGTAGAAAATAATGGTAGATATCACTTTTGTCCTGTTGTATTTTTCTGGAATAACAGTTTTTAGCTGTAGTAAAATATACAATATTATTATCCTAAAACTAGTTCTATAGGTTTTTTATAATCCATTCATCCAAGTTCACTGTCTTCACTGTCACCGTCTACGTGCAGTTGCTTGATCCTGAAGCCGATACTTTAAAAAAAACCTCGGGGTTTGTTTTGTAGCCGTTGCTTTATTCGTGACATGAGTTAATTTTTTTTCTTCCGTTTCATCAGTTTATGTTGTTTAAACTCCAGTCGACCATGAAGTCCCTGTAATCTCATCAGGCCGTTACATACACGGGGGTGGGGGGATAAAGTTGTGTGCCAGTCTTCCGTGCTGCTGTGTCCGTATGTCCTATTTATGTGATTCCACTGTTGTCCACTAGTCTGACATGCACTTTCCAAGCCCCACGTAGGAATGTTCAGATGTGAGTCTTCCAGAACAATGTTCCATGTGTCTCTTTGTCCTGTGTCAAACGTTGAGTCAGGTAGAAAACTATGGAACGTGATCATAGTTTGTTGGTGAAAAGGTGAAGACGACTAACTTTGTCCTGTCCACGTCTCGTCTCGTCTCTGAAACCTTTGACTGTGATGTTGACATGTTTGGCCCAGTGTAAGTGAAACCTGCGGATTTATGTCCAAGTCATTAATACAGGTCTTTGATTTTAAAGCCAACAGAGACACCTCAGGTGGATGAGATGGGGGTAAGATCCTCTAACCCCCCCACCCCACCCCCC